TTACCAAGTTTTTTTCCTTTGTGGTTAGAGTTTATTTACTGATGTGTCCTCAACTTCTAAGCATAATATAGAGTGAATGGATGATTTAATGAAATAATTAAATATTAAAAATAGGGTGTTCAGGGAAGAATATGCTTAAGGAGGTGTCACTTGAACAAAGGTCGGAATAAAATGGGGGTGCAAAAAGACTAAAAGAAGATGAAGATACATGAACCTTATTGAGTAAAAGGAGGAGTATCTCATCAGATTCCCCCAAAAGAGGGTTGAGTGGTGGACATTTAAGAAGCATCAAAGGACTTTTACAAATCAAGATACTGATTCTTGCAAAGTCCTGAGACTCATGCAGTCTCAGAACTCTGGGAAGAAAACTCCTATAAATGAGTGTCAGTGTTCACAGGAAAATAGGGAACAGTTGGTGGCTGTTCAGAGGAAAACTGAACAAAAATTATGTGGGGAACGTGTTTCCCTAAGTTCAAAGAAACCCATGGTTAACATCTATTTGATAGCATAGTACTCAACCCCAGTTTTCAATAGTAAAGCAATTTGCCAAATGCTGCCAATTAAGAGATCCTGTGAAAACAAAGCAGTTTTAATATTCCAAAATGATGTGCATTAGTGCTTCATATAACAGACAAACGCATAAAACAAAAAGAGAATGTGTGTTGCTAGAGGCTTCAGGGAGGGGAAATAGCTGCATTTCAACAGGTATAAAGCTTCAGTTATGCGAGATGAATAAGTTTTAGAGATCTACTGACATTGTGCCTATAGTTAACAATACTATATTGTGCACTTACAAATTTGTTAAGAGGGCAGATCTCATGTGAAATGTTATCATCCCACAATACAAAAAAATGATGTGCACTGGTGAACGTATATGCATGTGTATATTTCAACTAGTTTTACTGATTTAGATTTATATGCCATGTAAATTTTATATATGATAAAACCTACCCATTTTATATAAATAGTTCAATGCACTCATGTCATTGCCACCACAGCTGAATGAACCTTTTCCATCCATTATGCTGCTTTGCAGTTAATTCTCTCCCATGTGCTAACCACTAGCGAACTACTTTCTTGCATAAATTTGCCTTTTCTAGAATTTCCTATACATTATATAGCTTTTTATGTCTGATTTCTTTCATATAGCATAATGCTCTGGAGATTCATTCTGTTGTATCAGGAGGCTTTTTTTAAATTTGTGTTTTTTGTTTTTTTGGGCAGCCGGCTGGCGCGGCGATTTAGCGCCGCCTGCAGCCCAGGGCGTGATCCTGGAGCCCTGGATGAGTCCCACATCAGGCTCTCTGCATGGAGCCTGCTTCTCCCTCTGCCTCTCTCTCTCTCTCTCTCTCTGCATCTCTATGAATAAATAAATAAAATCTTTAAAAAAAATATTTTTTTTCATTGCTGAAAAAAACCTTCTGTTGTGTGGGTGTTCTAAAACTTGTTTACTCATTCATCTGTTGATTGTTAGGTTAACAACTAACAACTGCCTAACTACTGTTGGGTTGTTTCCATGATGAATAATATGCTTATTATGAGTAAACCTGCTATGAACATTCACATAAAGGCTTTGGATGAGGATGTTTTCACTACTCCTTGTAAATATCTACGAGTGGGATTGCCAGGACCTGTGATAAGTGTATATCTCATTTTATAAGAATAGCGGAATTGTTTTCCAAATGGCTATTTTGTATTTCTGTCAGAAATTTGCTCCATGTTCTTGCCAATACTTGGTGTTTTTATACCTTTTAAATTTTAGCTATTCTAGGTGTGCAATGGTATTTCATTGTGGTTTGAATTTGCACTTCTCTGATTAGTGATGTTAAACATCCTTTCATGAGCTTACTGGCCGTTTGTATATCTTCTTTTTTTTTAATTTTTTTAATTTATTTACGATAGTCATACAGAGAGAGAGAGGCAGAGACACAGGCAGAGGGAGAAGCAGGCTCCATGCACCGGGAGCCTGATGTGGGATTCGATCCCGGGTCTCCAGGATCGCGCCCTGGGCCAAAGGCAGGCGCCAAACCGCTGCGCCACCCAGGGATCCCTGTATATCTTCTTTAATGAAATACCCATTCAAATCTTTTGTTCACTTTTTAAGCAGATTGTCTATTATTGGGTTGTAAGAGTTCTTTATAGATTTTGCATACAAGTCCTCCTTTATCAGATATATGTTCTACAAATATTTTCTCCTAGTCCATGTTATTTTCTTCCTTTGAAATTTTAATTTTTTTTAATTTTTATTTATTTTATGATAGTCACACACAGAGAGAGAAAGAGGCAGAGACACAGGCAGAGAGAGAAGCAGGCTCCATGCAGGGAGCCCGACGTGGGCCTCGATCTCGGGTCTCCAGGATCACGCCCTGGGCCTGGGCCGAAGGCGGCACCAAACAGGTGAGCCACATGGGCTGCCCTATGTATTTATTTTAAAGATTTTCTTTGAGGGAGAGAAAGAGAGAGAGAAAGCACGAACAGCAGGTGGTGGTAGGGGGCGGGGCAGCAAGGAGATGGAGTAGACTCCCCACTGAGGACCCACAGGGACCCTGATCCCCCTGGATCCCAATGACCTGAGCTGAAGGCAGATGCTTAACAACTGAGCCACTTAGGTGCCTCTTCTTTTTCTTTTTTGAGGGAACTTTGGTAGTTTGTGCCTTTCAAGGACTTTTTACATTTCACTTAAGTTGCTGAATTTGACAAAAAGTTAAATTCACACTGCTTTAGCTAGGTCCAACAATTTCAATATATTCATTCAGTTCAAAATATTTTCACAAGATTTCAGACATGTTCAGGGTGGTATGAGTGTAGACTAGTTCAAAGCATTTTCAAATTTTCTTTTTTACCTCTTCAGGGCTCATTTGGGAAAGGTGGTTTAATTTCCAAATATTTAGGGATTCTTCAGATATCTTTCTGTTAGTTGATTTCTAATTTAATTGTGTTATGTGTTATGGTCACAGAACAAACTTTACATAGTTTCCATTCTTTTAAGTAACTTGAAACTTGTTTTATAGCCCATAATATGTACACGTGAAAAGAATACATATACTGTTGTTGGGTGGTGGTATATAAATGTCATTTAATTTAGTTGATAGTCATATACTCTTTTTTTTTATTATAAAAAATTTTTTTTTTTTAAATTTTTTATTAGTCACAGAGAGAGAGAGAGAGAGAGAGAGAGGCAGAGACACAGGCAGAGGGAGAAGCAGGCTCCATGCACCTGGAGCCTGACGTGGGATTCGATCCCGGGTCTCCAGGATCGCGCCCCGGGCCAAAGCAGGCGCCAAACCGCTGCGCCACCCAGGGATCCGATAGTCATATACTCTTAACTGATTTTCTCTTTGTGATATCACTTAAGTATTGAAATATCTATACTTGAAAATTTGCCTATATTTATTTCAATTTTATTTATTTATTTATTATTATTTTTTAGGTAGGCTCCGTGCCCAACATAGAGCTTGAACTCACAACCTCAAGATCAAGAGTTGCATGCTCATCAATTGAGCCCAGGTACCCCTTAATTTTCAGTTTTTATTTCATACATTTTGAAGCTTTAAGAGTATTGGAACTAGAAGACAACTGCTTTATTTTTGGATTCTCAAATGCTAGAAATACAGAGATCTCTCCCTTGGGGCTATTTGATTTCTGCAGAGAAGAAATGTCCCATCTCTTGCTGAGGGTAAATCTCTGGTTGGCAAGTGCACAGGAGTTGGGAAGGAAGGCAAGTATGGGATTAGGTGGATGTTCCATATACAACTGACCATTAATTTTACTGCTTTCCTTTCATGTCTCACTCCTGTCTCCTACAGTATTAAGCATTTCTTAGCCTGGAGCTAAATTGGCTCTTCTAGTCCTTATCTTTATATGCAAGCACTATAAATGGTGCTTGCTTCTGCTCTGATACACTGGCCATCCTTCTTCCATCTTCCGAATTTTTGATGAGATTTCTTGTTTGTTGTGGTCTTTCTCCTCTTTATTGCTGTGGTTTTATAAATGCCATTTTTTAAAAGCATTTTAATGCTGTCCAGAGAGATGTTTCACAAAAAGCACATTTTCTAGTCATTTTACTTAGCTGACCAAATACTGACATTTTTGTAGCCCTTGCTGATCAGTTGCCACATGCTCCTATGTATTAGCTTTTCCCAGATCTACCTCTTGAATCTACTTGTTCTCACCTGCTCTCAGGTACCAATCCAGTGCCAATTTTGCTCTCACAACTACTTAGAGCATGTTGCTTTGAACTTTGCTTTATCTAGAGTTCAGCCTTGCACCCTATGACCAATTATGATCCTTTCTTATCAATGGATGTACAATGAGGAAGGCATGGGAACTTCCATATTTCCTTCTATCCCCCAATTCTGGCTGTCGGGGTAGAGGGTGGGAAGAAACAAAGATTAGAGGTGCCTAGCTGGCTCAGTTGATAGAACATGCAACTCTTGATTCCAGGGTTGTGAGTTCAAGCCCCACATTGGGTGTACAGATTACTACAAATAAAATCTTAAAAGGATTAAAAAGCTTATAATTTAGAACTATGATTACAAGTACGGATCACATATCCACTAGTAAACAATTCATATACAAAGGAAATAGACCCACTGAGTAGGTATGAATTTTAAGAATTGTAAAGTGTCTCAAGTAATAATCTGTAAACTGTATCTTTTGTTAAATTAGTGATAGAATTATCAGTTGAATACAATTGATGATTACTGAGAATATCCAAAGCTTTTTGTTCAACTAAGTACTTATCAAGTATTAAGGGCAACCCTTGACCTCTGAAAAAAAATTTTTTTCAACAACCTCAAAGGGGATCCCTGGGTGGCGCAGGGGTTTGGCGCCTGCCTTTGGCCCAGGGCGCGATACTGGATACCTGGGATCGAATCCCATGTCGGGCTCCCGGTGCATGGAGCCTGCTTCTCCCTCTGCCTGTGTCTCTGCCTCTCTCTCTCTCTGTGACTATCATAAATAAATAAAAATTAAAAAAAAAAACAACCTCAAAGCTCTTTCTTTCAGTGAAATAGTCCTAAGGACTCTGACCATATTTTAATTGTATTAAGCAAGGTGATGTTTAAAAGAAAACAGTAAAAGCTAAACATAGTTAAAAACATAGATACTAAGGGGCACCTGTGTGGCCCAGTGGTTGAGTGTCTGCCTTTGGTTCAGGTTGTATGTCAGGGTCCTGGGATGGAGTCTCACAAGAGGCTCCCTGTGGGGAGCCTGCTTTACCCTCTGCCTATGTCTCTGCCTCTGTGTGTCTCTCATAATAAATAAAATCTTTTAAAAAATTGATACTGTAAGTTATGTATAAAAGGAAATTTGGAAAAACGGTATTTTAAAATCATCTGAGATCGGAACTTCAGACTTTCCCCCAGCCTCATTACATGCGGGTTCTTGTGATCTTGGCTCCAAATCCGTTAGATTCTATACGTCAGGCAATTAGAAGACATAGGTGCCAAACAAGTGGAATCCAGAATATATACTCAGGTATGATCCATGAGGGCAGGAGGAATTGAGAGGCGTTCATTACTCTAGAAATGGTGAAACAGAATCACATTTGTGATGCTGCCTTAGGGTATCAAAACAACTGAAGGATATTATGGAATGCTAAAGGGTAGATGCTCAATCACCACCCTAACCATATATAGAATGTTTGCCTAAGGCAAATGTCTTAATCTCTCTCCTTCATTCCTTGAGATTAGCTGTTTCAAATTAATGTATACTTTCCCTGTTATCTATGTCCAGGTAACTGCTTCAGGTTACCTTGGTCAGGATATATGTTATCACCCCACATCCCAAGCTAATAAAGCCATCCATATTTTCTCTATCACTTTTGATATACAGAAACTAGTTATTGGTGAAAAACTGGAATACTGAACACTAGGTAGTCTCCTAAGAAATGCTTGAGGAATCACTAACCATTAGTTAGAAAATGAGGGTTGCTATCAGGAGCTCCTCACTGTAAATTCCAACTTAGTTACATATGCAATCACTTTTCTACTTGCTTGAGCTTCTTGTATTAACTTCTAGGGGATGAATGTCTAACTTGGTGAAGTGTCCTAAGCGTCACACTCCCAAGTGAATTGCATGTGACAGTTCATATTTTAAGCCTGATCATCCCAAACATGATCTCCAAATATGGTTTAAAATGTTTTTATATAGCTATTATGTAAATTATATTCAGCCAAGTATAAAAATAATTTTATAAATAAATTCTATATCTACAGTGAAGCCTATAGAGGCTAGGGATGCTGTGAAAACAAATGGTTTTGGGGGTACCTCAAATATTAAAACAAGAGATAAGCCCAAAGAGAAAAATATTAGAAACTTTCTCTCTTGACTTCGTTTTGTATCATACAGAACACGAATGCTGAAGAAAATTAAAGAAATGAGATAGTGAGGAATTATATACATTTAAATATATTTTAACTTCATTTGCTACATTTCAACATGGTGTATGTATCCTATTTGGCTTTAGTTTGGCAGGGGGTCATCTGAAGTGGTGAGATCTGGAAGAACTCCCAATAGACCAGCTACATCCAGGGAAAAAAGAACTACTGATGTTCCTGAACAGCTGCCTTGGGGAGGGAGAGGGTTCAACATCCTATAATATATGGGGTTTACCACATAGGTAGCTCTTTACCTTCTTGTGTGCCACACACTGTTGTATATTTTGCAAACACAACAGATTTCATATCCATAATATCTCTAACCACTCCCTTGACCTAGAGAGGGCTAATCAGGGCTGGAAGGAAATATGAAAAAGACAAGGCACAAAATTTGAAGAGAAACCAGAGAGTTTCAATTTCTCAGAGAATACGAACAAAGGGAAACATGTTCCAATTACATAAATATAAAGTTTTTGTACTTAAAAAGGCTGGGTAGGGCATCTAGTTCTAGTAACATTGGTTGAACTGCAAAGTACAGACATTTCACTGTACCCATATGAGGAACCAGAACAATCAACTTGTTGTATAGTCTAACAAAGAGCTTAAATACTTTAAATGAATGAATGATTTTCAGTGAGGGAACATAAGTGAGTAACTCTTATTATCTCTCTCCTGAGAATATAAAGGGAAGCACAATGTTAAAAATATTTAAGTCAAAAAAATATTTAAGTCCTTATTGTATAAGCATATGACTGAAGACCTTATTTAATGGGATCTTTCCTATGAACCCGCTGGTGGATGTGGAGGTTGGAGCTCTGGCTGAAACCCTTCCCACACTTGCTGCATTCATAAGGCTTCTCTCCAGTATGCACTCTCTGGTGGATGAGGAGTTTTGAGCTCTGGCTAAATCCCTTTCCACACTTGCCACAGTGATAGGGCTTCTCTCCAGTGTGGACTCTGAGATGGATGCGGAGATCAGAGCTCTGGCTGAAGCCCTTCCCACACTCATAGCACTGGAAAGGCTTTTCACCTGTGTGAATGCAGCGGTGAATGTGAAGGTTCGAACTCTGACTGAAGCCCTTCCCACATTCCCCACACTTGTAGGGCCTCTCCCCAGTGTGAACTCGCTGGTGGATGTGCAGGTTGGAGCGCTGACTGAAACTCATACCACACTCCCCACACTCATAGGGCTTCTCACCAGTGTGCACTCGCTGGTGGATATGCAGTTTGGAGCTCTGACTAAAGCCCTTTCCACACTTGTCACATTTATAAGGCTTCTCGCCTGTATGGACTGCGTGATGAATGAGCAGACTTGAACTCCTTGTGAAGCCTTTCCCACACTTGTCACACTTATAGGGTTTCTCATCTGTGTGGGCTGCTCTATGGATCAGAAGACTGGAGCTCCTTGTAAAGCCCTTCCCACACTGCTCACATTTGTAGGGCTTTTCTTCTGTGTGGTGTCTTTGATGAAGTAGTAGTTCTGAGTGCTCACTGAAGTCCTTACCACACTGACTACATCTGTGTAATTTCTCTGCAGTGTGGATTTTCTCACACGGATGGCCATCTGAGCTGTTGTTACTTCTCTTCCCAAGGTTGTAATGGTTACAAGCTTTCTCTGTATGAGCTCCCCGATGACTACGTCCAACCACTTGTGATTTCCAACCACAAATGTCTTTGTAGTTACAGTCAAAGAGATCCAAAGAGTCTTTCACTTGGCCATTCTGGCAATTTGTCTCACCACTGACCAATGGTGCGACCAGGTCTATTACGTCAGACATAAGTTTAATTTGAAGGTTCTCTGAGCAGTGGTCCATGGAAGGACTTTCTCCCCGCAAGACTTTTTTCTCAATGCTTTCTTCAGTTACAAACAGACTTTTGCTTTTCTGAGGATCCTGAAACTCATTTTCACAGAATGTCACTGAGGAGGCCTGCGTGGCCATTTGGCTTGGGACTTTCAAAGGCAAATATTCTTCACTTGCCATGTTTTTGTAATCATCACTTTGAAGAGTTACCACACTGCTCTTATTTCTGGAAATATAGAAGATGTTTCTCCCTGCTTCTGATAAGGGGGAAAATCTAATTCAGGATTCCTATACACTTCTCCTGGAAGAATTCACAATATAATTCCGACTCTGTTATTGTACTGGTCATATCTTCTAAAATTAGCTGGCAGAAAAGCCCCTAGGTAATAGATCCCTAAGTCCTTTGTCTTGAAGATTCTCCATAGAATTTTCATTCAAGTCTCCTAGGGAACAAAGAGAATTCAGTGATAAGAACATACAAAGAGTAGATTTCAAGATTTTAGAACTGTATTGCCTAATGCCTAAAGATTTAATATCTAGGAAAAAGTTGAGTCTTGTCCTTATAGTCATGTCCTTTGGGTTCATATTAGAGAAAGCTCAGCTGTATGAGACAGAAATCTTGTCTTGGCTTTTTTTTTTTTTTTTAATTTATTTATGACAGTCACAGAGAGAGAGAGAGAGGCAGAGACACAGGCAGAGGGAGAAGCAGGCTCCATGCACCGGGAGCCCGATGTGGGATTCGATCCCGGGTCTCCAGGATCGCGCCCTGGGCCAAAGACAGGCGCCAAACCACTGCGCCACCCAGGGATCCCTTGTCTTGGCTTTTAAGCATAGCCAATAAAAGTGTTTTTCCCCTATCCTGCAGAGGCTATGAATCCTATGTCCTTGTCACAAATATTTCATTTCACTTTACTCAATTAAATTTGCATTTAATTGGTAACCCACTTTAATAGGTGCTGAGGATACAAAAAGAAAACAGAAATTCTTTTGCTTAGCAAGCTAGAGCCTATTGGGGGAAAAAACACAAAAAAATCAACAGTGATAACACTAAGTGCAACAACAGATGCATGCACAACCAGTCATGGGAGCACAAAGTAGGGGCATTCAACCCCAACCTGTGGGAAGATTTCTGGGAGTAAATGTAAGGGAGAAAAAAAAGTGAAAATGTAGAGAAAATATATGCTCAGAAAAACTATATGCAACTTCTTGTGGAGGATATAAAACAGGTGACAGTGGTAAAGAATATGCCCTGGAGAGGAAGGCAGGAATCAGAACAAAGGGCTCAGCATATAGAACTAAGGAGTTAGGGCTACAACCCTCAGGCATTTAAAATTTAAGGACTGGGATCCTTGGGTGGCGCAGCGGTTTGGCGCCTGCCTTTGGCCCAGGGCGCGATCCTGGAGACCGGGATCGAATTCCACATCCGGCCCCCGGTGCATGGAGCCTGCTTCTCCTTTTGCCTGTGTCTCTGCCTCTCTCTCTCTCTCTCTCTGTGACTATCATAAATGAATAAAAAATAAAAATAAAATTTAAGGACTTCAGTGGGGAGTAAAATGTCTGACTTTGTGCTTATAAACATCATCAGAAATAAGCAAGACTTCAGGCAGAGAAACAACTGCTGCAGCAAATCAGAAGCAAAATGATAAGGATGGTTATGAAGAGAAAGGGAAAGATTCATTCTATATCATGTGATGACTGACTGAACTTGGAAGGAGGCATCCAGCATGATCCTCAAGTTCCTTGCTTGAGTGATCAGGTATGAGGGTATAAATGGTAAGACAGGCTGGAGTTGTGAAGTAGGAACCAATAAAACAAACTTTGACTTATTTCATTTGTGGTGCTAGTGGAACATTCTTGAACCGTTCAGTAATATGAGTCTGGAACTCTGAGAGAGAACTGTGCTAGGAATGCAAATTTTAGACTTACTAGTCTGTATGTCAGTCAAAACAATTAGAGTGAATATCTTAATATTATACTGAGATGACAAAAAAGAAGTCCACAATAGGGATCCCTGGGTGGTGCAGCAGTTTGGCGCCTGCCTTTGGCCCAGGGCGCGATCCTGGAGACCCGGGATCGAATCCCACGTTGGGCTCCCGGTGCATGGAACCTGCTTCTCCCTCTCCCTGTGTCTCTGCCTCTCTCTCTCTCTCTCTCTCTGTGTGACTATCATAAATAAATAAAAATAAAAAAAAAGTCCACAATAATCTTGGAAAAATAGCAATCAGCATAAAATGTTGAGGAACTAGATGATAAAGAGCAGATGGATGAGAAATGATGGAGAAACTAGGAAAAAAACCCAAATGCATAGCTCAAATCATGTACAGAAAGCTTCTAAAAGACTAGGAGATCTTCTCAACAAATCCTAGAAATTCAAATTCCAAACTCAGAACCAACAATTATAAAAAGAGGTTGATCCTGGGAACAGGTTTATTAATTCACATTAGGCCTTTCTTTCTCTTTCCCTCCCTTCCTTTCCTTTCTTTCTTTCCCACTCATTCATTCATTCCAGTAATCTCTACACTCAATGTGGGGCTTGAACTCATGACCCCAAGATCAAGAGTTGCATGCTCTTCCAACTGAGCTAGCCTAGCTAGGCACTCCTCAAGTTAGGCATTTCCAATGGCTGGACTTTTACTGGGCGATTATCAGTGATATAATTTCACTTTACACTTTTGTGTTTAAGATTTTTATATCTTGCTTGCATTAAAAAAATGGATAACCATGTTCAATTTTTATCAATTAAAAATGAAAACCTAGCACCAAGCTTAAAACTGGAAGCACATTCCCTATTCATTTTTTGCCCCTCTGCAAACCACTTTCTACACTGAGTCCCACAGACACTATGTAAATTGGATCATACCACCCTGTTGTACACTGGCTTCCCACTGAACTTAGCATGTATCCACACTTTTTACCAGTGCCTTCAAAGCCACAAATGAGCCAGGCCCGGCCCACCACGTCTTCCCTCTCTATTCTTCCCAGATGCTCCTTGTATTATTGCCATGCTGCTTCCAGGTATCAGATCTTCCCTTGTACTATTCTCTCTGCTTGGAATATTCTTATCCTAATCAGTCACCTGTTACATGTTTATTAAGCCTTTAGATCTTTCTTAGTTGAAAGATGTCAGAGGCTTTCCCTGAAACTTTCAGCAGTACATATATTATCACTCTTGACCCATCCCATGCCTTTATTCTCTCAGGGCACACTATTCTATCCTTCCCAGGATGTAGCAATTTATTAAAATATGTTGTGTTTATTTAATACCTCTTTGACAAGACTGTTAAGAAATATATATATTTTAAAAGATTTTATTTATTCATGAGAGACAGAGAGAGAGAGAGAGAGAGAGAGAGGGGCAGAGACACAGGCAGAGTGTGAAGCAGGCTCCATGCTGGGAGCCCGACATGGAACTCGATCCCAGGTATCCAGGTTCACGCCCCGGGCTGAAGGTGGTGCTAAACCGCTGAGCCACCTGGGCTACCCGAAAGATTTCTTCTTTGCTAAACTCCATAGTAGTCAATTTTATTTGTTTATTTATTTATTTTTTAAAAAAATTTTATTTATTTATTCATTGAGACACACACACACACACACACACACACAGAGAGAGAGAGAGAGGGGGGGGGGGGCAGAGACAGGCAGAGGGAGAAGCAGGCTCCATGCAGGGAGCCCAACGTGGGACTTCATCCAGGGTCTCCAGGATCACGCCCTGGGCTGCAGGCGGCGCTAAACCACTGCGCCACCGGGGCTGCCCCATAGTAGTCAATTTTAAAATCTTGACCATGTATACCCAGCACAAGAAATATTAAATACATTGCTTTACCTCCGGGAAATTGACTGGAAACAAGGAAAATAAATCAGACCTGCAGACCTAATGGTAAATATAAAAGCACACACAAAAAACATCCAATCCAGTCTGATGAGACTGTGAGATATAAATTGAAAGTTCTGAGAAGGGAGTCAAGTGCAAGGAGTGGTCAAAGGTTTCACACTAGACTTTGAATAAAATCTTAAAGGACAAAATTAATCAGGAACCAGAGCATGATACTCATCAAAGGTTCCAGAGAATGCCAGGAAGGGAGTTTTGAGGCTCTAAACCAGCAATTAAAGGTAATTCCAGGTTTTCCTGCAAAAAGTGACATGATAAATATGTTAGGGGAGACAGGTCTACTTGTCACATCTAATTTGAGCCTGAAGAATGATGTCAACAATTTGGCTTATTGTTACCATTGTTAGCATTCAGTGGACTCATTTTAGAGCTATCTGTGGGACCTGAGTGTTATTTACAAGAACTGAAAGTCAATGGGATATCTGGGTGACTCAGCAATTGAGCATCTGCCTTTGGCTCAGGGTGTCATCCTGTGGTCCTGGGATTGAGTCCTGCAGCAGGCTCCCTGCAGGGAACCTGCTTTTCCCTCAGCCTATGTCTCTGCCTCTCTCTTGTGTCTCTCATGAATAAATAAATAAAATCTTTAAAAAAAAAACAACAACTGAAAGTCAAAAAAAAAATTGGTGAGAGAGTTACAGATGCTGGGGATGGTGAGGGATAAACTTAATAATGGCTTATTTCTAATCTAGGCAGCGGGAAGAATGTGGATACTGACAAAAGTGGGAATACAAGAACTTAAATAATTTAGGAAATCCTCAATATACTGAATGTGAAGTGACACTGGATATTCAATATTCAAGGAAAGTCATAAGAACAGAGTCTCATATGAGGATAGGAAATAAAGACACTACAGTTATTACAGTAGAAAGGACAGCTGAGGCCATTTATGTGTGCTAGCTCTTTGAGGGAGGCAGACGAGTGTACAGATACAGTGTGCATCCTCAACAGGGGCACCTTGACACCAAGGGATGAAAACAAAACAAAACAAAACAACACACACAAAAAAAGGTTGAGAAACACTGATAGATGGTGATCTGAAGGCAAAGAGCCTTTTAAGATTTCTAAAGTTAGAGGAAAGACAGAGAAGCCAGTGAACATACAGAGAAAAGAAATAGGAGGAAGGCCAGAGGAAATAGGAAAACTATGACTTCATATATGTCAGGAAATTTGAAGATTAAGATGAACACTATCGAAGGCATCAGAAGAATTGGTAACAGTAAATTTGAAAGAAAAATTTAAAAAGGAAAAGCTCTGAAAGGAACAAAAGTTTAATTTGCGACCTCCAGGTGAGCAATTCTGGTACACAAAAAGAGCACAGGCATTTGGTTTACAGAAAGAAAATGGAAACACAGGGCTCTTACTACTTATAGGGACCAATTTACTCTGTGGTGTTTTCCTTACTCCCCAGGTTTAGTTGAAAGTAATAGTTTGAGAGCTACAGTTATAAGGGAAGAGAATCGGGGATCCCTGGGTGGCTCAGTGGTTTGGCGCCTGCCTTTGGCCAATGCATGATCCTGGGGTCCCAGGATGGAGTCCTACATTGGGGGACTCCTT